GTCTGTCGTATATTTTCATATTTTTAATATATAATATACGCGACATGACGGATAACGATAAGAATAGTATTAATATAATAGACTCACACGTATGTGTACCGAATCCTTATCACTTTTTATTCGCGTGATGATGAATTCCACGCTTTATTCGAGAAATGTTACCCTATTAACGATTCTCCTCGCTGACCCGGCTGCTTGGTACGGAATGCATACGCATAAGCATATTCGTCTACCACCCAGCACCAAATGGTTAAGTTGAACGGTTTAACTGCCAACTTAAAAGTGTTCTACGAGCACACGAAAACGGCAACTGGCACGAAACCATACCGCTCGTTCTTTTAGGGGCGAGAACGAGCTTAAAGGCAGATATCCAATGTTCCGCCACTGAACTTGTATACGGCACGACATTGCGTCTGCCCGGAGAATTCTTCACACCACGGAGCAGACCTAATTTCGGTAAATCAGACTACGTCCATCGACTGTCTGCATTTATGCGAACGCTGTCTCCGGTGTCAACTCGAATACAACATCGACAGGTCGCTCTCCCTCGAGAGTTATCTACCTGTTCACATGTTTTTGTACGAGTAGATTCGGTACGCAAACCTTGGCAACAACCTTACGAAGGCCCTTTTCACGTGATCGCTCGTCACGAAAAGACCTTCAAGGTTGATCGATATGGACGCGTCGAGATCGTCAGCAGTGATCGTCTCAAACCAGCACACGTCGATGACAGTGCCCTATCTGACACCCTGAGATTCAATGCTAGACCTATCAAACCTAGCGGGATCCTTAAATCTTCTTCAGGTCCCACGCTAGATGCATCTGAGACCTCATTCTCACGTCACAGTCAAGAGCACGCGTCATCTGCACCGTCTACGGACGAGACGACAGTCTCACGTCCAGATCAGCAGACCACGCCGCCCTTGACTTCGGATGAGATTGCAGGCTCACGCGACGCGAACGAGACTGCCGTCTCACGTTCCGGTCGCCGAGTACGGTTACCCGTACGCTTCCGCGAATAGTCGCACAGTCAACAACCGATACGGTGTAGGGTTATTCCTATACTACACGTATGCTACACTCCTCTTTTTTTGATTTTCTTTTTGTTTCCTGAGCCCACGCCTTCGACCATCTACGTTTGGTTCCGTCGACTTCAGTCAACTTTGGCGAAAGCTGGATTGGCCACCCACGCTCTTGTCAACGTACTCAGTCGATATATTGGTTTCGAATGCTTGGATGCTTGGTCTCGAACTTGGTCGTTATGGTCGCTTCTGGTTCATCGGCTCAACGTGGTTTCGTCCTTCGTCTGCAGCGTTTATGGTCCGGACCCGTACGAACGCCCTCTTCAGATTCTGGATACAAACCACTCTGGTGTAGCATGCCAATTCAAGCAACAAATACAGCACATCGCTCCTGGTACCGTTCTCCGTAAACGACCTTCGTTGGCAGCTCGACGATCAACGATCGCTTTCCTGTTCGCCAATTCTTCCGTCCTACAATCGCTCGTCAGCCGATCAGTCCCACGATTCAAACCGCTATTTATCGAAAGTGTAAACCCTTTCTAGCGGGGGGCTCCTGTAGTGACTCACGTTTATCACGAGAACACGACTGGTTTAATAAAAACAATTATTATTATAACCAACTGTACCAGTGTTTGTTTTAATGTGCTTTTGTTTGACTGTGCTAATGACAGCTATTTTCTGCTTCCATTCTTTCGCTTACACTTCGAATGTAACTTCGCGCGAATTCGGTTACCTTATGTAACCAAGGTTGTATCCTGGCACGATCTCGGTATCCTTTCGATGCCACGAGATCGCCAGCTAATAAACCTCGATTTGGTCCATTAACTGTCTTCTGATATTTGGCTTCTCGGGGATTTTATGGAGTCATTTGGAACGAGCTTCTTACGCCTTCTGATTCGCTTGGCACGTGTTTCTGGGTAGCGGTGTTCACAGTTAATCTCAACTCGACGCCACGCTACAAGTGTCTCCTGGAAGCAATAGGCTCCTGAAGTGCAAACTACTCTGTGACCACCACTGTAGCCTGCCTTTCTGAGTCAACTTTGCCAACCTGTGGCATAAAATGCTTACCTCATTTAGTAACATATCGGCCCCATCACATACTGTCGTGTTATGCAATTTGAGACTAGTTTACTCTGTCCCTTCGTATATCTTGTTGGCTACTTTTGCGTTATTATCTATACCAGCATCTCTACCAGAATGAGAAAACCCGTTGTACACTCAGCGGAAGTCGGTGGAGTCACAGTTAGTAACATAGGTTACTCTCTACTTTCCTGTACCCTAGCAGCTTTTTCGGGTGGCTTCTTGACTAGGAGGGAATCCTTTCCCATTTGCACATGATAGAAAGATTAAGGGATATCAGAAATGATGTAAATAAAAGACTAGACGTAGCTTTTTCGAAAGACATGTTTATAACTAACAAATAGCACATGAATAAGACAATATATTTGTAATGAATAGTAATGGATTTACGGCAATAATGACAGTAATAAGTGGTACAACGTTACAACACAGACTTATTATATCTCATCAGTATATCAACTGTACTTGAGAATGTCCCTATTCATTATTGGCAATAATTTTAAATTGTGTTCAGTAATAATTATGAGATAATGTAAACGCACTTTAAAACAAAGATAACAGTAATCCCGAAAAAATACCGAAATCCATCATAGTGACCTAAATTGAGACGAATTATGTTGGTTTTCGGAGTTACGTTGGACGATAGGAATATGGGTTTTGTTCTCCATTTCTGTGAAGAATTATCTTCCAGACAATTCCTAAAGCACGAGGGTTACCTACAAGCACGAAAATAACTCTAAAAAGAACCACTCCTGGATTATTATTATTATTATTATTATTAGCTTTATTCAATATTATATTTTTGGTACAATATAGAATTCTCAGCGCAAAGTATTTCAACAAGTTTCCGTTTCTTTCTTCTTGGTCGGTCCTGACGATAAATATTGAGTGATCGCCAGTTAGATGTTAGCAGTTCACTAAATGAACATCTGAATAATGTACATTCTTTTCGTTGTACATTGCCAGCAACCATATTGTCTCTTATTGAGTTTTCTGTAACTTTGACAACGAAAGGTTGTACATTTTTCAGAAACGCAGCCGAATAGGTTATGCGATTAATAAACATAATGATATATTAAAACAAAGAACAATAGATAACTTGTTGAAATATCTAGATGGCAGGAACAGGTAGCCCAGATGCTCAAGCAGGCCGCCCTAGTTGTTAAATCTACTGACTGACATGTGCCGATGGGCTGGCATCCAAGGTCGAGAGGATAAGTTGAATTTTATATAACTTAGTTTCTCGAAAGCCTTTAATAATGTCAGTTATATGTGTGCCATCAGTAAACTTAAGCAGATAGAGACCCAGTTAGTGCTGAAGGATTAGTTTAACTTATATATGAGTATTATTCATACTTACCCTAGCAAAAAAATCCTGTTGGAGTTTCCTGGGATTCACCACTAGGAACTCTACTCTTTTTATTGACATAAATGACCTTGCACTGAGATACCACTTTTTGCCGATGATGTTAGACCTTGGAGAGAAGTTTGGAACCAGTACGATGAACCAACACTTTAGGAAAATCTGACCCGACCTTGATATTATTCGGTCAATAATGGACCTACTACTTGGAACGTGGTCCGAACAAATCAGTTAATTCTTCTCTGAAAATGACACTAGTTGCGAAATATGTAGGCATTCCGGTCATACATCATGCAGAATGCTATTCCAACAGTGATAATGTCTCTTTCGAAATAAACTTGGCACTGACAATTTTTGAGGTTATTTTTAGTCAGTTTGACTGAAAAGTTGTGAATCTTATTCTTAACAGTTTTGCTCGAACACGCTTAGAGTTTTAAAACATATTTCCACACCACTCTAGAACGGGTAAAGTACTCTGGAGCAAGCCACGACATTAGTTTATGGAATTAAATTCACACCTTACGAAAAATTCCGAAATCCTCTAAATCTCTCTTCAGAGTAAAGGTAACTCGACGCAAACTTTTATGATTTCAAGTGCCCGTAACGTCTATTAACGTCCTCCGGATTACTAGTTTTAGTTTAACTCCAAAATACTACTTAAATGGAATACTCTGAAGTTAATGGTACAAGCAACTAACCTAAAATCCTTTAGGAGAAAAATTATTTGCGCTTACAGGCCATGAAGAGTATATCATATTGCTTTACCAATACTTATTTCATTTCTGTTTATTTTATGCACTCAGGTACCTATCTTTAGAATTCTAATACAGTTGAAAACAGGAGTTTGCTAAACGAAAACGTTTTCTGTTCAGTCCATAACTGTTTAAATTATTTGATAGGCAGGAATAAATTTTACTAAATATTTTTTAGAAAAACCAAGAGGTTCAGGTACTTATTTAAATTGCGAGGTCTTCAGCACTGAGATGCAAACAGGAAATTAAAACACTACTGGGATTGACGGGAATCTTGACCAGCGTGCTCAGAATCGCCCTAGTCATAAATTACTTATCCTTAGGTGCTTTATTATTATGAAGTAACGATCTCTGTTTCTTCTCAGTCCTCTTTCTCATGGTATGTTCAATGCTACAAGATAAATGTGACAGTCCAACATGAAAATGTAAGTCTGTGTATGAACTCAGTCAAGGCCATTTTTGTTTTTATGTATCGGAAACCTAAGTGTTATTTCTAACACATATTTGTTCGCACCATTTTTCGTTCACTGGTTGTTCTACTTTGTCAGGTGAGATTTTCCACCGTTAAATGGCTTCGATGTCATTCCCGTGTTGTATCTTTATTTTTGATTGCTTTCACTAATAAATGCTAGCTCATATTGTGTACTTACTGAATCATCTGCTTACTTTTTTTCCTTTTCTTATAGATTCTCGCATACCCTGTATTGCACGCTCATCCTGCACACTAAGTGTCTTTACACTAGGCCAAAATCTGCCGAGAGTTGAAATTTGCACAGTTTTTAAATGCGACTCCCTTTGGATTCATATGGAGTAGACTTGCATGTTCATCTAGATGGTGCTATTAGGCCAGAAACATTATTTGAGATATCGAATGACCAAAAATCCAAAGTCTCGTTTCAAAATTTAGAAGAACTTAAAGGAAAGCTAATGCCTAGAAAGCCCCACAGCCTGAAAGATTTTCTGAAAGCTTTCGAGATAATCATACCATTAGTTGCCGGTAAAAAGGTTAGTAAAATTAAATTACTTATGATTAAGAAAAAAATTGCGTCCCACTAGTTATGATTTTTTTAGTCTGAGCTGAAGTAGGTTATTTAATATTCCAACTCACAGAATGTATCGAAAACCTTTTCTTTTCCGCAAATTCATATTTTCTTCCATACCTAATCGTTTGTGTTCCTACTAATACTGTCATTATGCATTATACTCTGGCGTCTCTCTGTGGTGGCTTGGTGTAACAACTCTAACCACTCCATATAATTCATAGGCTCGATATCAAATAGCTGACTGGTATCAGATAAAAGTAAAGTAGTTTTATAATCCATGCAAGGCAGAAATAAATAGAATGGATATGGAAGTTAATTGCCTTAGTATATGGTGTTAGAACGAAGAGCAGTATATATCACAGTCAGGGGGAGTTTAGGAAATGTTGTATTTAACACAATAAAGACTGGTTGCTCCATCTAGCTGCCACAGTGTATCGTTAAATCAAGAATCCTGTTTATTTATTTAGCAAGAATGACCAAAACATAAAGTATACATCATTCAAGTGTCTCAGACCTATACAAAACGAGGTTAACTATGATATAAACAAATCGGAAACGGTTTATTTAAGCTATTACCAATGATTAAAAAATATCGTGGAGAACTATACAGTGCCCTTTGAGTGCATTATAACACCAACAATGAACATTTTTGAGCCATGAAAGATTTCATTAATCCTGAGTAAAACGAAACACGAAATGTTCGGTGTTGCCATCTTTATAGACACCATGAAATACACCATTAAATCCAAGTATGAAGTGATATTACCGGAAACGTGAAAACCGGATAGAAGTAAATTGTTTCATTCATAACCGGCGTTGCAAACTAGCAATAAAACTTGAGTCAAATGAGGGACCATTTCTTGGTTGCTCAGTTCTACTTGTAATTCCAGATAAAACTTAATTATAAAACTCATTTTTAAGGGCTAACCAAAAACAACCCACATCATAACTTAGTTTCAAGTTGTATGTACCCTCTTGTCACGAAAACCACTTTAATTTGTAAATATTTGGAGTTTATTTGTGATATTTATACTTTGCTACACTACGTAATAGCTGCATACCATAGATGTCAACTGCTTCTTTTCAAGTCAATTTGTAAATGCTTCCTGGTAAGAAAAAGTATCATATTTTCCTCATAACTAACCACATTCTCATTGTATGCTGAATGGCTATTTTGCCATAAATACTGTTCGTAATATTTCATACGGCTAAACGGATAACCATAGTACTTAAAAAAACGTGACCGTTTGCTCAATATAAAGTACGGTATTAGTAAAAAAAATGGTATGCATTTTTGTGTGATTCAAACGTTTTGAGTGCCATTAGCTAATGAGGTTAGATAATATATATGATAAATATGAACTTTAAATATCTACAAAGGTAGAACCAATAGTAGTCTAGTAACAGAGAGCTACATTGAAGGTTAAAAATGGTATATCACAAACAGGGTTGTGAATAAAGTATAGAGAGTTTTGTGACCAGTAGCATGAATAAAACACCTAAATTGTATGTTAAGTTTAACACTATTTTAACTTCTTATTTTTTATGTCCTATTAGCGATCTGTCTTATTCACTCTCGATTTATATGCCTTTTTGTGTTTATCAAGTTGGGTCTGAACAATGAATGATCACAACAATAACAAAACTAAAACGTACGCTAATATAATACGTCGTTTACACTTATAATGATCGTTGTCTGAGTCTAAGTTTCTTACGTGTAATTTTAGTGGCCCGTGGATCTGACTCCAATTAGATCGTACGAATGTTTGCTATCGCTTATTTTCGCATATCATCGCCGACTTTAATCACGTTAGTCAATAACGGAATTAAATAAGTCAAATAACGAGAATGGGATTTTGAATACATATATTATGTATATGAGGTGAATGGAATAGAAGGAAGAGAAGCGACGCAGAGTGGAGATGGCTAGTAAGCCAACTCATTTTTAGTCAGGCGTTAATCAACATTTATAGGCAGACAAAAATAAGATACAGACATGCAATGAGTCATGGGATATGATGTGTACACACATATACGCTCATATAAAAACAATCAAGACTGACAAGCGAATAATTAACAAGGTCAACATATGACCCAAGTAGAATGAATAGAATGGAATGTCCGAAAGCTAGAATAAGGTATGTGGGCTTAACATAGTAACTGACACTACATAATCTATGAACAAGATCAAACCATCTGTTGCTAGTAATGCTCAGTATCAGATAATAAGAAAATGGTGTTTGTGTAATATGAAATCCTGACGTGGTTGATGGAGAGTTCATTCATTTGCGGATGTGCATATGTTAATTTTTGAAGCCTTGATAATATGAATAGCAATAATTAAATAATGTCAGAGAAATACTCATGTTGTATATTACTTTCAATTAAAAACATTTTACCATGATTTAATTTTTAAATGATTGTAAATTTGCAGAAAAATGAGACTAAATAGGTACATTCGTTCCCTGAAAATAAAATTTCTGTAATTCAAGAAATGAATGCATATTTTCTGAGACTACTTTAAAATTGTGAATGTACTAGTTTGTTATAGTTATTTTAATTAGTGTGAAAACAAAACATGCAACTCTGATGCCGCGTTAAAATTTATTGATATTAAATGTATTTTATGAAAATCTTTTACCACTTTTGTTTCTCTACTCGTTAGTTCGTAAAATAAGCAACTGGTTTACGATTAACTTACCACACTGTAGTACCCAATCTCATATCCGTGTCGTTCTTTTAATGTTGATCGAATTGGCTGACCAGTTTGTGATAAAGCCGTTAGTCCAAGTTACATAACATCGATCCATGCACTATGTCGAAATGTTAAGTGGTTCGAGGCACTCGGCAAGACCCATAAACATTGATTTCTACCATTCAGCACTCGTTAGCAAGGAGGAGACTGAGGGGACTGATACTTCCTATGTGATTTGAACCGACGTCACCCAGCTTTACAATCCGAGACTTTACCACTGAATAGATCAAACAGCTCAATTATAACATCTCACACTGTAAATCCGGATAACGCACATTCCGGCTCCATAGAAATATTCAGTTCCCTCAAGACTGCAAGTTCGCATTAATGAAGAGTGTGAAGTAGTAAAACGTCTAGGATCATTCTCTTGCCGGATATGTGAAACCACTTAACATCTAAACAATTAGTTATGGATACTTCAGACTTGATAGTCCTCACACTAACAGTCAAACTACTTTTGGTAGCAACAATATTATGTTTTAATGAGTTGAAAACAAATATATTTATACGGTGCTGTGTTTTATGTATTTTGTCATAAGTTTGACAAGGAGTAAATCTAAATTATATTTCAGATCAACAATTTGTTAAAACATAGTTATTTATAAGTCACATTATTAGTAATACCGTGATAAGTTAACAATATATACAATTTTCTATTATTCTGTTCATATTTAGCATAAAAAGCTAGTTTTATTAGGCATCATTTCAAAACATTTTAATAGACAAGAATTTCTTCAAATGTTTCAGTATTCTTATAATTGACTTAAATAAAAACGTTAATGTTAATCAATGTAAATTTTATTGATGAAACCCTGACTATAACATCATTCAGAAAATTGCATTTATAACACTGATTTTCCAATGATTCTAAAGAAGTTGTTCCACGGATTAATATCCAAAGTGATTTTTTTGTAAATTATATTGGTATTGGTTATTAATCCTATAGAGACCAGACTAAAAAGAAATGGGAATGAAATCACGAATGACCGAAATAGAAAATATGATTCACTAGACTAAATACCTGCACGTTCATAGCCATTTACTCTATCAGGTTTGTCGATTGAAGTTGATGTATATATATATATATATATATATATATATATATATATATATATATATATATGATGTTATATCCAAGCAAAGATTAAATCACGGGTAACTTCTGAGACATATTAATTGACTAATATTATCTATACATTCTTATGGTATAACTATTCAATAATTAGATTATGTATATTTATATTCCTCTTATTATAAGCTTTATTTTGACCTATAATTTATTATTGTACGATTTACTGTTCAGTTTATTAACTACTGCCTCCCACGTTCACAGCCACTTTTTGGCTTTATTGTGTACAAATGTTATTTCCTATTTTATGGTGCGTTGCGGTCTGTTTGGTTGATATATAAACCCAGTATGTCTGAAATAAATGATTCGATTCGATTCGCATAGTGAAAGCTGGTATTTGGTGTTCTGGACTCAAGTGGATGGGCTAAGAGGCGGACATAGAACCAATAAGGACGCTAGACCGCCCATACCGGTCGAACGTCATTGGTTTGGCACAGTGCTAAGATTGTATAAGTCGTATTTTGATTGGTGGATAAATCACGTGATTAAAGCCGGACATAAAGTCACAACATATAAGGTCTTTTTTGTAGCACCACTAAAAACCGGCCTTTTTTATATTTACTGTTGATTGATCACTTAATATTGAGTAATTTCATGTTTGTCTGACGCTTAAATTCCCGATTTTATTCTGTGGATCAACTTGTAATGCTGCCGCAAATCTAAGTAACTTAAAATGTGCACTACTTTGAGATCCTAGACGGTTGGAGCCTGAATATCTTGGTGGGAACTCCTTAGACTATGAAACTAGGTTTAAATCCTTTAGGGAACACTAGTTTCCCCACGGTCACAAGTACACTACTGACGAGTGCTAAATAACACAATACTCAGGTTCAGGGTTTCGTATCGTTTACTCAACATTTGTTCAGTAATAAGATAACTTTGACAAGTTAATACTTCTTATACTTTATAAACCTTTCGTATGATTATTTGCTTGTAATGGGAAGATATAAATTCATATAAGTAGTTTCGTACCCATTCAATAAATTATTATTTATCTGAACTCAATAACTCAGTTAATAACTTATTTGTGTTCAAAGCGATTGGTATTGAATTTAGTCCTTAAAGCGAACATCGACCACATGATGCAAATACATGTAGTCGACGAGTATCATGCAGAACGAAAGATGTTTTTTGTATTCCATTGGTAGCTACAATCGAAATATACTTTGGACGCGTAAATAAAGTGTTGATTTAAGACGTGTGTTCAGGATGCACATGTACCACTAGAAACTTATCAGTCACTGTCCTGAATATCGAAAAGGAGACAGTGCAAAATCAAATTTTATTTATTCGATCTAAAGAAATGAGTCAAAAAACGTCAAATTTCTACTCATTGGGATATCACAAATATATCATTATTTTGTTATTAATTCACGCTTTTTAAATGTTTAATAATGGTAATTAGTTTTTCTTTTCTATTTTTCCATCTACTCCTTTCTATCCACACCAACTTTGTTTAATTAGGAGGTTTTGGCGCGTATTTGTGAAGAGTTTGTTGAAGATTGTGTAAAACGCGGTGGTTTATGTTATGTGGAAACAAGATATTGTCCATTTCTATTAACTGATTCTAAATGTAGCGCAGAGGAGGTATTGAAAACAATTTTGGATGCACTAAACAGAGCCAGCAAAAAGCACGGGATAGAAGTTCGTTCTATTTTATCAATTATGAGACATATGCCTGAGACAGCCAAAGAAACATTAGACTTAGCCAAAAATTATCAACCACATGGAGTTGTTGCAATCGATATTGCAGGTTAGTGAGTTTGCTCTTATTTTGTTGTTATATGTTTAGTATCTTCAAATATTTAACTGTAAATAGGACGACTGGCTGAGCAGTGCTGAGGTTAGCCCCAAGATACTAGGCATTGATGGTAACTCAATTTTATAGGGGAGTAAATCTTCGTCGACTGAAGTGGTTAGGATATATATCATATTTTCCTAACCACTGCCTAGCTCAGTGCGGGATGTTTGCTGATGTAGAAATATGTTAGAAAAAATCCAATGGCACCTAATTTAAGAGCTGGCATCGAGCCGTAAAGTAATTAACTGTTAAACAAAGATATGTTGGTAGGTGCAGAATGCCAGGTTGAGGTCCTTGAGGTGATAGTAATCGATGGTTGAAAATCGTGGGTGACATTATCCGTAATCGGTTACAATCGCGCTGATGAATTTACTCTGTCTTTCCTTAGATCTAGAATTTTGAAATTATCTTGAACTTTTCATTTTGCGAATTCATTCTTTCTCCAATCATATTGTCTATGCTTAATTTTTCCTATGACCACTAATACTATTAATAGTTCCACTACTCTAGCATTTGTCTTGATAATTTGATCTCAGTAAATTAGTTTGCTGTGGTAACATGAACCGATCATGTATTTCCTGGTCTCTACTTTTCCTATGACTGATTAATTAATACTTCCTAATGGCGGATTTGATTAAAGCTATTAGAAACTCGTCAGCTATCAAATGGTATTCTAGAACTTCTCAACAATATTCACCTATAATGCAAATCATGATCAACTGAAGTTCACCAATATGCTGTTCTTTTAATTGATAAATATTATTATCAAAAACATTCAAATTCAACTACTTAATAAATCATATTAACAGATGGATTTTCAAAACCTATAAGTAATTAGTTTTTCTACCTTTCAAAAACACTCCATTTATCTGTCATAAATTGTAAACAATCTTCTATTGATCAAAACGATGGTTAAAAACACTAGTGGTTTGTCCTATTTTCTAAAAGTGAGTTAACAATATATAAGCATTTCAGACAGCTTACGGACTACGTTTAGAGCTTGAGTTTAGATGTTTAAATTAATTACAAAGTACTGTTGTACAACTCATATGAAATGAATACTTACAGAGAGTATATTTTATCCAGACTTTTTTGTTCATTTATTAAATATTATCAGTAAACTGTTGTCCTCATATAGTTTGGTTACGTGCAATTTTATACTATCAACATCGATTAAATCTAAGTATATCCTACAAAAAGTAGCTATGTATGAAGAGTACCATCAAATGATACACGACTAGTCAATATTCAGGTTATCATCAAAGTAATAATACGATCCTGAATGCCCACAAAGATCCTTCAACACATTGCGTTATAAACTATTATTGAACTAAGTGAACTTTAATTACCTTGCTCTCTGCTTGATTTCGAATAAACTAAAACTGTTTGTAGAGAATAACGAGATCAATACATGTAATTTTCGACGATTATTGGTGGGACACACCGAAAACCTATAGCATGTCATTGAATGGATTATTGATGTTCTTAATTACTCAACAGAATGAAATACCATTGGTTCATCTTGCATCACAAAAATGAGTTCAAACAAGTCGTAAACCATTATTGTATGATGTTGGTGATACATTTTAATAAAAAGGTGATAAATTTTTGTCCATTTTCCTAAGGAACTATTTCAGATTTTTGTGTATATTCCCAGATAGATAGAATCAGAAATCATTAGTAGCAATGGTTATGGATCAACTGTTCCGTCAATTGATTTAGCTTAATTACTTAACACTTTACAAATGATATTCAATTAAGCATTGTCACCAAGCAACCTAGTACTTGAAAAACTATCAGAACTTCATAAGTTCCTTAAATTGAATATTGACTCATAAGGAACCTAGCAGTTCAAAGCGTAATAACTCATTCGGAAGTCAATTTTCATCTTGCACTATACATTCAAGTTCTAATTAATCAAGTTACAATAGAATATTTAAAATCTAACAGCTATCAACTTCAAAGTATAACCAACGTTGTATAGGTAAACAAAGTTCAGTTTCATGCGTTAATGCAATCTACTTGTAAGAATCACATCTATATCACACAAGTTCAAAACGTATTTCATTTGTTTGTTGACATGAATAACTCAAACAAAACTTCAATTATTTAAATAATTAAAATAGACCAAGTTAAAACTTTTATAAATAAATTTCCCATAGAATATTCCAAAAAAAAGAATATATGAGCGATAAATCGTTTTCAATAACTTCATCATATATAATTATTGTAATATTTTGCAAAGGCCAAAATAAAGTATTCATTAATGGATTTGACAATGTTATATGTTAAAAAATGATGAACTATGGTATCCGTCACGACATAAATACTTCGAAATAGTGTCATTTGTAAGTTAGGTCATTTAATAAAGGTTAGAATGCTTCGTTGTGAATTGTCAAGTTATAATAATGATAAACTAAATCATGTGAACAAACCAACTTCCAGCTGAAGAGGAAACTAGGGAAAAACGATGAAAGTGGATAGGACGTACGCCGCAGAATGTATCAGACTGCATCGCGAGGCAAGTGCTAACTTGGAATTCTGAATGGAAACGAAAAATAGGGAGACCAAAAAACACACTGCTTTGGGAATTGCAAGCAGACATGAAAAGAATCAATCGTTACTGGAAACAACTGGAAAGAATTTCCCGGGACATAGTCGGATAAAGAATACTGAGGAGTGGCTTATGCTCCTCCATGAGGGGTGACGAACATAACGAAGTAAAATTGTGTGAATAAAATGCATAGCAGGAATACTTCGTCTTGTGAATCTGATAAATTCTTAAAAAAACAAGTACCATCTACTCTGACTTAAAGAAGCATTTCATTTATCGTTTATTTAGTTAGAAAGACAAAACTCGAATATCAAGTAAACTATTTAGTCTATCATATGGATCCAACTCGTTTAAACTGAAATATGTCTATATAGTTAAAGTATTGTTTTCCTCTTTTAAACATTTGTAAATAATTCTCTTTTAAAACGAGAACAACAATGAATATTTCAGCAGAATAATATAGATTCGTGTGATTATGTTATGTCCTTGTTAATTAATTCTACAAGCAAATTAGAATATATTAAGGTTAAAATTATGCATACAAGTTGTATCATACTTAGCTACAGGTGAAATTCGTTAGAAGTGAACTTTTCTTTTATCGTGTTAGAGTGAAGATTCCAACCAAGTTATTGAGATTTGAAATAAATGTTACATATAAATATAAGATTCTAGAATATTGTAATGTGAACTGAAGGTCATAGAGCTGAAAATTCAATAGATTACATAATTGGATATTCAATGTTATAGAATATTATCTTGCATATTGCATTTATTTGTAACATTTATTTCAAATCTCAATAACTTGATTGGAATCTTCACTAACACGATAAAAGAAATAATCGCTTCTAACGGACTTCACCTGTAGGTTAATATGATATAACTTGTACGCATAATTCTAACCTTAAAATATTCTATTTTACTTACAGAATTAATTAACGAGGACTTAACGTAATCAAACGAATCCATATTATTCTACTCAAATCTCCATTGTTGCTCCAATCAAAATAATTAAGATAGAATTTTGGTTATAATAATTCATATTTATTATTATTAATTGTTTGTTGTATCATAGGTGATGATTCAGTCTTGAAACTTCAACGCGTCCCTGAAGAAATTGTTCAAACATTTGAAAATGCTAAAAAAGCTAATATTCATCGTACTGTACATGTTGGTGAAAACAGTTCAGCAAGTAGTGTCTATGAGGCAGTGAATAATTTATATGCTGAACGTATTGGCCATGGATATCACATCTTAGATGATGAAAATGCATATAAGTCTCTACTTGAAACCGGTGTACACTTTGAAGTAAGAATAAACAACAACACACGACACATTTTATGCCTTTTTTCCAAGGAGGAAAAAAATATTTTTTTCATTGGAGTCGTGAACTGATCTAAGTTGGATAACCACTGAAAACCTAGGAGCACTGGATAGCCGTTTTGTCCTAGTGTTGGAATCCTCAGCACTGCACATCCACCACATCGCATACGGGAATCAAACCCAAGCATCCGAGCTCGAGCCCGGACGACGTGGTCCGTGTCCATTGCTTTCAGGTTTTCAGTGGTTGTCTAACTCAGATCGGTTCGTGATTCTAATGAAATTCAACGATCTCCACAGCTCCTAACTAACATATTTATTTTCACATCAATTGTAGCACATCATGTTAATGGATAGATTATACTGCTTATAAAATGTTCACTGATTATTGTTTTGTAGCGTATTTTGAGATTGATAGATTTTGATTGAAATTTCAGATCATCAAAAGATCTGTTTATCTCAATGAGTTTTCTTTAAATATTCGGTTTTTAAGTGACCTATTTTCCGATTCGTTAGCACAACAATTGTTGTTTGTGTAATAAATAAAACTACAGTCGTCAATAGAAATATCAAGATAACGAGTACTGCTTGCACTTTCTCATAAAATCATTTAGTTATTTGTGAAGATTAATTCAACTTCGATATCGCTTTTATCATAGATTAATTTAAGTTAGAATGTTATTGAAAAACGGAAAAAGAACTATGCAGTTCTTTTGTCCTAATCCCAGACTTTTAAATAGTTTGATGAGGACAATCTTTTCTGAAACTGAATACAAAGAATTTTAGGCCTCGTGGCAAGCGCATCATCCTCAAACTACTTATCCCCTAATACAATGATTATGATTTCCAGCTTTAATCATTTATCAGTATTACGTTATATCAACCAGAGACGTTAGTATGTAAATTATTCACTCTCTATATAGTTTGACTCCAATGGTTCACAATTTCTCATTTCTCAAGAATTCCATACTAGGATGAAAAAACTGCTCAATACACTTTGGTTTTAAATACTTTCTCACTTTCTATCATTTCCATACGAAAGCCAACTTTTTTTCTAACCAATCTCAACAAAATTAACAACTAATAATCTTTTCAGAATTATTGTTATTAATGTTAAATAAAGACTTGTTGATTCGCCCAAAATAAAATCAGGTCAATAGATTATTGAATTGATCCCATAGCATACTAAACTTATCTGAGTGTTTCATAGATAATAGTTAATGTTTGCTATAGTTTGGGAATTATTTTGATTATTTCAAGTTACGAATGATTGAGAGAACCTCCTAATACGAAATGTGATCTTAGGAAACCAGATAGATCGGACGACAATATATAAAGTCAATTCAATGTTTATGACCCACTCATTATTAGCATGAACAGAAGACCGAACTTTCATAAAAGCTCTGATATTCCCAAAAGAAATCAATAATGTGATGTAATAGTCCTCTTTGTACAATAGCAACGATGATCTTGAGGACTTATGACAAAATGGTAAACTAAAAGAAAAAGTACTCAATCCGAGAACGGGAAAATTCAACATGTAATATGAGTTAAGAGTTATCGAGGATTTTATTCCTCGTAAAAACTATAAACTATCAACTAAAGGAAAAAACCGTCTAACCTGAAATCCTTCTTGCAGGTTTGGAGTTAGTTTTCGTTTGATTACCACTTAATAGTATGTTGTTTTGCTGAGCTTGAAGGTCCCTTATCATTTAATTAAGGGATCATGGATTACTTCATTTCAAGAGAATTTTTTTAGCTGATATAAATCTGAGATCGTCTCGTAGTTATATAAACGTCCTCGTAAACTCGCTTAAATTAATAACAATAATGGTAATTATTAGTAATACCAAAAGTAAATTATTTTAAAGGAGACGGATGTACCCCTTCAGAAATAAATTGAAGAGATAAGTGCAGCGAATAGTTCTCCTTTCCGGGAATTCATTTCAAAAGCTGTACAATCAGAAATCTGTACCTACGTTCCGAAATCATAATAATTACAATAATAATGATAATAGAATTCTCTTAGACAGGATAACAATGCGGTAAAATAAACAAAGTCATGAAAACGTAATTTTTATTAAGTAAACTAACAATAATTTTGGTATCCCTTTGTCTATTCTACTTCACTGTTATTATGTTTAGTAGAATTTTATTATCACTATGATTGCAATTATTATCACTTTGGAAAATAACTTTATACTTCCGATTGTACGGCTTTGACAAGTGAATTCACCAAAAAGATAATCCTTCATTAAATCAATGTTTCTTACTTGAAGTAAAGTATTTCTTTATGATTTAGGTGTGTCCATCGTCAAGTTTTGTAACTGGTTCCGTTGATGGTCGAAATCCAAACAATCATCCTGTACACCGTTTCATTGCGGATAAACTCAACTTCTCCATTAATACCGATGATCCAACACTGACAGAAAGATGGGATTTACAAGAAGCTAAATATTGTATTGAAGAATTAGGCATAGCACCTAATCAATTGAATATTGCCAATTACAATGCAGCTATGGCAGCGTTCGTTACCAGTGCTGAACGGGAACTTTTAATATCACATATAAAAATTCGATCAAGAAATAGAATAATCAAAGTTTAATTAAAAACAAAATCACTATTCTGCTCAAACACACAAAGTGGATCACGTTTCAATCTCAAATAACATATTCTTTCTATATGAACTTTCTTCTCAATAGAAAAACGACATTACTTCACCGATTAGAAAATAATTTACTAATAGATTATTGAAAGAAGCAGACTTTCTTATTAGCTCTTGTTCACAAAGTCTCATTTCATATTCTAACTTGTGATTATAACTTTTGTTTACTAATTTAATTCTAAAACATTCCATTCTAATATATTATTTTTCATAAGAATCTATTTTGTCTGATCAGAACAAGTTTGAACAACAACTGTGTTGAATTTCAAACAAAGAATCCTTGTTCATTTTAGAGATTAGTACTAATTGGATGACTAATTTCTATATAGAAAGATATTAGCAGCAGTGTGTAATTTTCTGTGGTCGATGTTAAATAATGTGATTGATCAGTCTCTGTTGATGTACATACATCATCCTACATGGATTGTTTCGGTATTGTCATTTGGTCAAAACCTTTGGTAAAGTAGCAATTATAGTTACCAATGAAATGTAAAACAAACATTATTTGACCATTTCGCACTCGTCAGATGTTTAGATGATCATCTCATTGTTGATTTTCACACTGAGACTCGAACCCAGTACACGTGACTGAAACGCCAACAAACCGTCCATCGAGCTACTCAGTCTGTGTAAACACTAACTTGTGCAATGAGTGTGAAGTTGGTTTTAGTATTTCTATCTCCCCGTTTTAATAAATAACTTCATGCTCGTTAAATAAATTAACATCAATTTACACTCAGTAGCTCAGTGGATGATCGGTTGGTGTCTCAAGCTGTGGGTCTCATTGTTAACAACAAAAAATGGAATTGAAATACATCTACATGACGGGTTTCAAACAAGAGAAAACACTGATGATCAATATTCCAATTTATAAAATGGATTGATATTAACAATAGATGAAATAAATGTATTTCATAACACTCAACCGAAGTTGGTCACATAAAGATCTGAGCCTGAAGAGCATGACAGATGTTCCTCATCCTGTTGTGAACTTCGAGATATGGAAATAACTGAATAATGGTGTGGGAAATTGTGTTCCTGACAACGTCAACCTGATACAGACATCGCAAAGAAATCTCTATTCGTTATTTACAACATGAATACTTAATATTACTGTTTCTCATTATGAAAACTTCGTGACTTCTACCACTGATGAAAAACTCTCGGTCATGAAGCCAGTTAATGAGGAGGGTGGGGTGTACGGCCAGTGACCACACTTCGTAAAGCAAACTCTGCGAAAGAAATGATAGCTAATAAATTCTGATAAAAATCAGTGTGTAGATACATTACTACACTTGATCGAGGAGACCAGGAGACTCCGGAAATCACAAGACCAACCCCCTTCTAATAACCAGGAAAACAACAACTGATGGGAATATGGAATGGCCGAACAACATGCCGGACTGAGGAAGTGCTTTGAATAGTCACAAAATCGACGACATTCAACCTGAAACACATTGGAATGAGTGAGACCTATTAGGTGTAAATAGTAAGGAAAAGGCTAACTTCAAAAGAGATCGACAAACAACCCTTTGAACATGCAAAGTGATGCTGGACGAAAAGAAGCACCAGTACAAAGGATGGACTACTTCCAACCACTTACGGTGTTGCTAACACACTGAATTAGCAATGCAACACGTTTATACCAAAAATCGGACAGTCTTACACTCTGATATTTTCAAATATTTCAGCAACATTCCTCCAACAAACATTTCTGGAGTCACGTGTGCAGTTTATAAATACGTTTGTTTCGGTCGACTTGCAAAACTATGAAGTAAGTGAGAAATTCGATCAATTGATTGCATCGACTTGTTTTACTACTGAATTCACAGGTAACCATCAATCAGTCATGTGAATGACAAACTTCCTTCAGAAAGTGTTAATATGTCCAGGTGTTTATGTATTCCACTCTCGCCACCATCTCTACAAGGTGAACATATCAAATTATGGTTAAACAATTTTCTGTTTACCAAATCTTACTCAAACGTGAACATATGTTTGTTAAACAATAAAAGCAAACTAACCAGTGAATATGATTAGCTCACATTTATGTGTAGTTGAAATATTTTGTCACTTTGTAACCAAATCTAGATTACAATCATTGATATTACTGAGAGTAGAAGAATTGGCATTATGGATTCACTGAATTGTCCAGTTGAATATACGCATTAAAATCCACCACATAACCTGAATGTAGATATGTACAGTTACTGTTTGTAAAATAGCCTTCAATGAACATGACTTTACATTCCGTCATACTTTTCTACTGTCGATTAATATTCCAGTCTTGTCCATTCGTTCATTTCATCTGATATAATCATATTAATTTGGAAAAATAATCAGAACACGACAGATTGGAATCTAAAACACTTATTTGTTTCTTAATGACTGTTATCGCCTATGAACAATTCTCATTCACAATAATCTTCATTACCTTATTTAAAATTCCATATCATAGTCTTTCAACAATCAGTCCCATTTTCGTTTTTTCGATAGTTTTCTATACTCATGGTTAGAGGGTTGATGTAAACTAATCACAATTGTATTGGTCTTCAACACAAATCGATATCAATCACTTGGATAATGAACGAAAAGCTCCCAGTTTGAATCACTGTAACAATGTTGAATGATAATTTTGTACACCAACAAGCCAATTTATTATGACAACAATAATTTGCCCCAAGTTGATCAATCTACCATGAGCAAGTACAAATAAGAAGTAGTGATTAAACGGACACATATATATGAAGATTAACATATATTTCTGAAGTTCTCCTACTGCTACTATTACTTTCATATCGCAAAATATATTTCTGTGTATGAGAAATCACGTGATTAGTTTATGACCCGACTTACATTGAGTCTAGGGAATGCATCGCATCAGACTAAAAATTTATGTGATTGAGGTTGAAAAGTTTGAAAATAATAAAATGTTCTCATCGAGATAAACGAAACTTTTATCACATAATATAGATTTATGGTATTAGAATTAAATCAAATCACGAAAATATGATCAAATTGATTTAAATAGTATTACTGGAATAAGTGCAAGAAATCAGGAAGCAGTAGAAAAGGACTACATATTTATTTTTATTGTTTCACTCCAGATTACATAACATCGATTGTTTTTCCAAATCAAATGTAGAATGGTTCAGTTTCACTGAGTCAAATTTAATTAATATGGTATTACACCTTAAAATCTCATTCATTTTTCTAGTCGGAAATTACACACATTATTGAATACAACAAGCTTTAATAAATCCATAAAATTATTCAACTTATGATTTGTTGATATCCATCTCAGACTAGGCTAAACCCGATTGTTTTTTCATGCAAACTATGTTCTTTGAATATTATTAACATTTACTCAATTTAAACAATATCATATGAATTGACGGAATATCGACACTCCGTTTATTCGAATTAGATTTAGTTGTGCATAGAAACAATATCCACACCACAGGGATTTGATAATCTGTAATTAATGTAAAACCAAATGATAGGTAAATAATCGTATTTAATTAATCGTACTACTGTGTCTAAAGATAAACACCTCTGTTTTTTCCACATGTATTCTAGAGATCAACTCCGCCTGTAGCTCTTCTAGAGTTACTGCCGGTCCCAAGCCCGGGTAAAGTAGGAGGGTAGAAAACTAACTCGCTAAAAAAACGCTTACCAGAAAAAATAATTCAAACCATTTTAACTCTGCCCTGAGAGTTAGAAGGTCTTCATTTAGAAGAACTATGACACCTCATGGTGAAAGCCGAGTTCCCTCGAAAGCCACGAGGCCGATGCTCCTTCTAACAACCAGAGCAACAATTTTTATAGGTACATGGAACGTTCGAACAATGTGGGAAACCGGGAAGACCAGCCAAATAGCAACGGAAATGAGGAGATACAATTTGGCAGTACTGGGAATCAGCGAAACCCACTGGACCCAAGCTGGACAATAGAGGCTAAATATGAAAGAGATGTTGCTATACTCCGGTCATGAAGAGGAAAATGTTTCACACACTCAAGGAGTTGCTCTAATGCTGTCCAAAGTAGTACGAAATGCACTTGTAGGATGGGAATCTCACGGATCCAGAATCACCAAAGCATCATTCAAAACAAAGAAGGAGGGGATCGCAATGAATATTATCCAATGTTATGCACTCACCAATGATAGCAACGACGACATTAAAGATCAATTCTACGAGCGGCTGCAACCAATCATGACGAAGTGCCCAAGAAAGGACCTCACCATTCTAATGGGAGATCTAAATGCCAAAGTCGGAATAGACAACATCGGATATGAAGATATTATGGGACAACATGGACTGGGAGAGAGGAACGAAAATGGAGAAAGATTTGCAAATCTATGTGCATTCAACAAATTAGTCATAGGAGGCACAATATTTCCACACAAACGTATACACAAGGCTACATGGATCTCACCGGACCACGCTACAGAGAACCAGATAGACCATATTTGCATCAACAAAAAATTCCGAAAGACAATGGAAGATGCGAGAACCAGGAGAGGAGCTGACGTAGCTTCAGATCACCACCTAGTTGTAACCAATTTAAAACTGAAGCTGAAAAAGAACTGGACAACTGGACAAACGGCGCTACAAAAGTTCAATACAGCCTTCCTTCGAGATACTGACAAACTCAATGAATTCAATATAGCTCTCAACAACAGGTTCCAAGCCTTTCAAAATCTACTGAAGGAAGAAGAAACTACTATTGAAGACAACTGGAAAGCCATCAAAGAAACATTGACTTCAACGTGTCAAGAGGTTCTGGGCCTAAAGAAACACCAGCATAAGGAATGGATCTCCACAGAAACACTGGACAAGATCAAAGAAAGAAAGAACAAAAAGGCAGCAATTAACAACAGCCGAACACGAGCAGAAGAAATCCAAGCACAAGCTGAATACATAGAAGCAAACAAGCAA